CTTTTCAGAAAAGTCAAAAGGACCAATCCTCGAAATGACGGTTTTCTGTATTGCGAAATATGTTGTTGTGAAACTTGCCGACTCAACTTCAGATTGGTCTGAAGAAAGCTGCAGCAAATATATTTTTCTTTTACTTCAATCAACTTAGAAGTCTTACATCAGGGCTTCCCTTTCTATAAATTCTGCAGCATTATTTCTTTTAGATTTCCTATAGACACGAGGAGGCCAACATAGACAGAAAACATCAATCGAAAGTTCTATAAATCCATATCTTAATGAATGTTCGATGCATAATCGTCTCGAAATAAGATTTTCAGCCGTGAGTGAAACGAATTTTGCATTCCCACTTGATATTGCAATACCTCCACGATTTGAATTTATGATTCCGCTCTAATTCTGCTGACACAGACGAATTCAGACACTCTGAAAGGAGAAGAAAAGTTGTTGGAATTTTTGATTGCAAAAAATAATAAATAAATAAATAAGAGGAGTCGTGGCCTCGGTCTCATTAATTCCCCTCACGGAGACGAGGTCGCACAGAGCAGAGGTCTTCTTTCCGAGGGGGTCAAAACCCAGGGATAATTACCCAGAAAAGAAAATGAAAAAAAAAAGAAACCAGAGCAGGAGGTTTCTTGCTATAGAGAGAAGAAAGGTTTATAAAGCGGGGGAAAAAATTGGTGTGAACAAGCATCTGTTTCTTTTGGGAGTGAATCGTGACGCAGTTTTTGGGTTGCGCAACCTCGAAACCCTGGGTTTCTTTTTTTTTTTCCCCCTCGGCACTGCACACGTGCCGCGGGTTTTTGTGTTGATGAGCTCATCATGATTACAAGGTTTTCGTGAGCGAGAAAGATTTTTTTTATACGAAGGAAAAAATAAAGAAGAAGAAGAAGACACGAGAGATCCCTTTTCTTACACCAGTTCGAACAAAAACCTATTGAACTTCTTCTTTGAACAAGGTCTCCATTCAAAGCAAAGTGGTGCATGTTCTCGGCCAGTACTCGGTCCAATTATGGGGCATAAATATTAGATCAATCACCCAAGATATGCACTCGAGAAATAACGCTCGGAAATGTTGCAAAATATTTCTGCCCTCTAGTGAAAAAGGGTCGTTCGAAGTGCTGATCGAAACTATCAGCGATGGCAATTTAATCTTTGCATCGAGACCTCGAATGATCGGTTTTATTTTCTGTCGAATACTTGGGTTACCATTTTCTCCGGAAATTTCCGGAATTTTCGTGCATTGATTCTCACCATCTATAAATAAAAAAATTGATTTTATATATATTCCTTCCAAAATTAAACCTCTGATTTCCCGTCGTCTCGAAGGATGATTGAAAACTTCTCTGCGTAACGCTGAAATTTCGTATATTTATAATCAGGAGAAAAATAATTTTTCGTATGTATTCTCAGTCTTGAACTAATTTTGGTTGAGATGAGCCAATTTTTGTTCGGGGCACACTGAAATTGTATCGAAAAGAGGTTTTTCTGAAAATCGGCGTGTATTTCTCAAGATCTTTCAAGTCATGCCCCACATACGAAAACCAGCAAGTTCCAATTCCAAAATATGCGCCTGTATTTTTATCATTCATTTATTTTAACCTCTTGGAAAATCACACGATATATTTCTTCAAAATCGCAAGAAAAAAGAAAAGGCGGAAAAGACTGATCCACAATTTCGTCACGGATTTTCCGCTAATCTATTCCTTAGAATTTTTCCGCAACCAACGCATGCATGCAAATTTCAAAATATGGTGTGTGTGTGTTTTTTTTTTTTTCAAGTGATGAAATTTCGTGATGAGTATATTTTCTGCCGCGAAGAAAAGTGGGCTTGACCCGAATAAACATCAGGTGAACCAGGTACACGAAGCTGGGGTTTCCAAGGTTGACCTGTAATCGCAGGCATTTATCAAGTTACTATTCAATGATTCCTTTTTCGCACTTACTTCTGCCTACATTTTCGGCACTTCATCATGTACACTTACATTATCCGTTAAATTTTTTATTTTGGCAATCAAGGAAGACCAAAATGTTCTTAGTAAAAAAAAAAACTGTATCACCGATGACTTTTTGGTGATGCAATTTTCGAGAGGAAAGCTGATCTTCCGGGGAAGAAAAATAGCATATTGCGTAATCATGAGCAGATTTGGGAGAAATATTCAGAATTGACGGGTGTGCTTATTCCTGAAATCTTTGGCAGTAAATTTGGCTGTAAAAGAGATCATGAATGGAGTCAGCAAAAAGTCTGCTGCGCTCATTCCCTGAAATATATTTATAGCTTAAAAATTTTTTTTACACGCAAAAACATTTACTTGGAGGCTTTTCCCTTGAACAGTGTGGTTTGCTCTGAATTATTCAAATCGGACCGCAGAAAGAGTTCATGGAAATTCAGACGCAGATTCTTGCGGTTCCTCGGCTTTTGTGGACGCTTCGAGTTCTGTGGTTTTTTTTCAAACCTCGAGGTCATGGCGAAGAACTGTTCAATTTTTACGACAAGGCATTAACCCAAAAAAAAGGTATGACAATTCCGTTTTTTTTTTTTTTCAAATGTCCAAGGTTGAAAAAGAAAATAGGGGAGGAACTCATCAGCGCACGCGTTCGATGAAAAGCGTGGTGCGAAGTAGCGTAGGTAGAATAATAGGGGGATGGCCCGAAAATTTTTGTTCTTATTTTTAAAATTATTCTTTAAAAAAATGCTATTCTTTCAAAAAAATTTGGATTCCTTCCTCTCTGGATGATGCTGAGAGTATAGTTCCGAAGCGATGCGGCGAAAATATTTTTATTGTTGGCGTTATGTCAAGGAAAAATCTTTCTGTCCTCCAAAAGACCGCTTTGCTGGAGAAATTCTTCGCATTTATTTATTTTTTTTCAACAATTCACAATGGAATGGATGCATGGAAATTTCGATTGCGTAGAAATTTCCTTGTCTCTGGTCTCGAAAGAAAAATTAACCAGTGCATTTCATTTGCATTATACCTTCTGCAAAAAATTCACGAGGGCACGCAACATTTTTTTGGGACTCTTAAGTGGATATCCAGGAAAGGATGAAAAGTTAAAATAGTTTTTAGGGTATTCGTTCCGACAATTCTCTGCTTATTTCATTTTTTTCCAATGTCTTATTCGAATCAGAAGCTTTGTTCGACGGAACAAAAGTTACGTAGAACATCTGGAACTTCCCGACTGCTGAAGCAATATTGTCTCGTTCGAACGACAAAAGAAAAAACGATGACGAAGTTCGACTTTTGTTCGACTGAGTAAAAAAAAAAAATTTTTGGGTTTTGTTGGTATTTGACGCGTGTCCCCCATGGAAGTATTGCTCATATTTTACTTTTTTTGTATTATTCTGAATATAATTTTCTTCGCGGCGTTTCCGGAAGTCTGAAAAAGAATCCGTTGCTTGAAGGCGAACGAGAAAGTTCTAGACACGTTTTCGTCGTTTCTATATGTCCTTATTAAATTTAGCGTGTCGTTGTCAAACTTTAATTTTTTTTAAACCATCGAAAAGAATTTGAGAAACTTTGAAAAAAATCCTTGCGAAGTCTCATAAAAGCTATGAAGGGTTCGATAAATGAACTTTACGCGTAAAAAAACCAACACTTTGTTTAGTTTCAATCGGATTCTCCGGAGATTACGTTTTTGAATTTCCACTCAGAATCGGGTTTTTGTTTTAAAAAAATATTTTCATTTTCCTTGAGACAGAAACCTGATAATGTTTGAGAGAAGAAAAAAACTCGAAAAATAATCTGCGTTTTCGTGTTCAGAACGTTTTAAATTCCCCACTCATTTGTGGATGATCCGTGAAAAAAAACGTGAAAGCAAGATGACTCGGGACTTTTTCACACTCGTGCTCCGCATTTACACGAATAGTTGAATTTATTTTTAGCATTCATTCCATTCTCAGGAAATATTTGAACAGAAAGTTCTTGATCGTAATGTGAGATGAATCAAATTTTGTGTCTCTATGCAGTTCGGATCTTCTATTGTAGGGAATTCGCTTTTTGGTTGAGTGAGTTTTATTCTGGCTACAGATGTAGAAATCTGCACAAGTCGAAGGAACATCCATATCAGAGAGGACAATCCTGGATTTATCCTTTAAAAAATTGCTTGCAAAAATAATTAAAATAAGATAAGCCTAAAAAGTTGGAAGACCAAAACGTTTGCCAAAACATTTCTTGAGCTTTTGCAAAAATTATGCTGCTTTGATCTATATTAATAACCAATGAGCTTGAAGTCGTGACTGTGAATTCATTTTGAGACCGAAGAGAAAAAAATATTGTACAGCTTATGACTACATTATGAAGTTGATATTTCAAAACAACTCAAGTCACTTTTGCAAAAAAAAAAAAAATTTGTAGCTCGTTGAGTGAAGCAGAGGCTCTGTCTTAGTAAACTCCGGTACAGTTTTGCCAATGATTTTGTTCGCGCAGAAACCATTGGCAAAATGTACCGAAAGTGACATTTTCAACATGGAAAATATTTCCCGACCATTGACTTTTTTTTTCACAGGAAAGTTTCAAGGATATACTCACTATATAGTTTCCGTCGGGGTGCGACAAGCCGGATTTCCTGGTATCGCTTGTCGGTAAATTTGACAATAACTGTTTTACCTTTGTGGAAGGA